ATTCAAGTAGTTCATTCATGCTTTGGGTATGTTGTCTCACTCCTAATCTGTGGTGTATCATTTTACAAGAGAAGAAAAAAGACTTGTAGGGAATAAGCAACTTCCCAGAATTACCCCCCAGTGACACCTAAGGAGGGACTGGAAAAAGGGCCATGCTTTCTTATTACATCACCTGATGCCCAGAAACCTCCTCCTGTACAGTGCCTGCAATGTCTGCTCTGCAATGGGACTCACACGTTTGCCCCAGCTCACACTTCACAACTATGTTCTTCCTGCTCCTTCGGGACCACACGGGAATGATAGTGGCCAATAATAACTTCTAGGTATGGATTGCTACTGCCCTACTGCAGCCCAGGTAGCAGGAGACTCCTGGAAACCCAGACCGTGAAGGCAGAAATTCAGGTTCAGTAGTTAAATGCGGGAGATATTTGTGGTGGACATTTTTCAGTTTGTTTGGGTGAGCTAGGTTATAAGCAGGATTCTTTTCTTTTTTCAGTCTTCTTAAAAATGTATTTAACATACTTCCTCCCTGCCTGACTATAAAGCAAAGATTAGGGTTACAAACACACCCCCCGTCCTGGCCTCACATCTCCCTCTGCTGAGGTTGCAAGGTATACATTACCCATTATTTTTTTCTTTTCTTTTCACATTTAACAAATTTTGAAACATCATAAGCACAGAAAAGTACAGGGCTGACTATTAGGAACATGCTGTGCTTACCACCAGCTGTGTCAAATTTTAGTATTTGTCACCTTTGCTTCTCATATTTCTTTTATTTACCTTTTTTAAAAATTTATTTTTTTGTTGATAATATTTCAGATGTCCCCCATTCCCTCCCTCCCCTCGTCTTTGTCCCCCTTCACCCAGCCCCTGCCCCACCCCAGGCCTACAGGGAACTATTGTCTACAGGGAACTGCTTTTTAAAAGGCTTCCATAAAAGAAGCCTTTTAAAAATCATGTTATGGGCTATACAGATATGTATATAAGTTCTTTGGTTAATCTCTTCCTCCCCCATTCAACCCCCTTCCCTCTGAGATCTGTCAGTCTGTTCCATGTATTCATGTCTCTGGATCTACATCAGTCTATTTTGTTGATTAGATTCTACATATAAGTGAGATTATGTGATATTTGTCTTTTTTCTGACTGGCTTATTTCACTTAACATATTTTTGCTTCTCATTTTTTTTAAAGAAATAAAACATTTCAGCCAAAACCAGTTTGGCTCAGTGGATAGAGTGTCGATCTGCATACTGAAAGGTCCCAGGTTCGATTCCGGTCAAGGGCATGTACATTGGTTGCGGGCACATCCCCAATAGGGGGTGTGCAGGAGGCAGCTGGTCGATGTTTCTCTCTCATCGATGTTTCTAGCTCTCTATTCCCCTCCCTTCCTCTCTGTAAAAAATCAATAAAATATATATTATTATTTTAAAAGAAATAAAACATTTCAGATGTATTTGAAGCACCCAATGTGCCCCTCCCAATCCTTTCTCCTACCTCCTCACTCAGAAATTTTTTTCCTGAAATTGTTTTAATTTATATTGCATCTTTTTTATATTTGTATTAGATACATGTTTATAAACAATATATGATAACAGTGTGCATCTTCACATTTTATACAAATAGTATCACATATCTTTCTGCAATTAGTTTTTTATTTTTCCCCTTCAAAGTTATGTTTCTGAGAGATATCAAAACGCATGTGTGTAGCCATGGTTCATTTATTCATTTTTTAAATTTCTGAGTCGTATTCCATTGTATGAATATATCCCAGTTTATTCTCCAGCTGATGGACATTTTGTTTGTCTCCAATATTTTGCTATTGCAAACCATTCTGCAATGAACATTTCATGTTCCTGTGCACATGTGTGAGTTTCTCTAGTTGTCCAGTTTTGCTAGCCTTATTTTACCTCTGCTGAACTGAGTGACACTAAGCAGATAAATGTGAGACTCCACAAAATAGTTTTCAGATGCCTTCAATTTGTAGATGACCTGTACAAAAAGGATTCTCTTTTTTATATTGAGAACAACATTTTGAGCTATTTTGCAGGAACTCTAGAGTGTCTAGCATTAATTTATTGAAAGTGTTATCTTGTGTATTTATTTAGGATAACATTTAATTTTAATATCCAAAGGGCACAAGATGCCAATTAACTAAATATTACAATATTTGAATATTCAATGTGGAAAAATAAGAATGTGTTGTTATTGAGAGTTGTAAGTCTATGAATTGCAAGGATCTTGAAATGCAGGTGGTATAGAACTGTCGTCAGCAAACTGCAGCTCGCAAGCCACATGTAGCTCTTTGGCCCCTTGAGTGTGACTCTTTCACAAAATACTACGGCCTGGGCGAGTCTATTTTGAAGAAGTGGCATTAGAAGACATTTAAGTTTAAAAAATATGACTCTCAAAAGAAATTTCAATTGTTGTACTGTTGATATTTGGCTCTGTTGACTAATGAGTTTGCCAACCACTGGTATAGAAGGAAGGATAAAATGAAGGAAGGAAGGAAGGGAAGGAAGGAGGGAGGGAGGGAGGAAAAAAAGGAACAAAAAAGAGAGGAGAGAGAAGAAAAGGAGGTGTATTAGGTTGGGCTGAGTTGCAGTAACAAATAGATATTGTCATGCAATGGTTCATCAGAATAGAGCTTTATTTCTCTGTCAGAGATGGTTCCAGATCAGTGAGGGTTGTAGCTTTGCTTTCTGTCATCACTTTTCAGGGTCCTGGGTTGGCTGCTGCTTTTTTGTCTTTAAAATGTGGCCCCCAAAGTTGATCAGAGGTTGTCAGATCAGTCAGGCAGATGGAAGAAACAAAGAAGGGTTCAAATGGGAGCCAGGAGCCCAGGTGGAATCATCAAATACCACTTTGGCTTGCCTTCCATTGGCCAGAAGTGAGTCACAAGCCCACATCTAACCATAAGGGATGCTGGGCCATGAAGTGTAGCTGTGTGCTCAGAAAGAAGAGTAAACTGTCTGAATTCTAATTCTTTCTTCTACAGGAAAGAGAAAAGAAGTTGGTATGGTTTTAATTGAAAATATTGCAGCCAACATTTGTAAGAAGGAATAGTTAATACTAATTAAGATGGAAACCAATTTACAGTTAAAGTGCTTTCTCTCTTCCTCCTTGCTCTGTGCTATTTTTGTTGGCCTACATTTCATTTCCTTCCTCTTCTGGAAATAAAAAGTCCCACTACTTAGTCCACATAGTTTTGGTGAGAATGCCTTTGGCAAAAGAGAATAGAACTTTATCTTAGCCTGGGCCCCCTAGGAATTATATTTGGTGGTAATGGCTGACATGCAGGTGGTTTATTTGGATAATGATCCCATGGAACAGGAATGAGCAGCCAGGGGAATAATAAGGTAAAAAAAGGAAATTCAACACAAGGAGGTGTTATCACAGTAGACACCACTGCCATGGGGACTGTAGTTGTGTGCCTGTAGATGGATGTGGGGAGCATTTATTCATTGGTTCATTGAGGTTTTGTTTGCAAAGCTGATGGAAATAGCCTGGGGACTAAGTGCTACAGTAGTGACTGGAGCTAGAGGTGGCGGCAAGAGGAGCTGCACTGATGCACTGTGGTGCCTGGTACAGGCAGGTAGCCCAGCTCTGGATGCTCAATACACATCCATCCCCAGGGCACAGTGCTTGGGTAAGGGGTGTGCACCAACTAAGCCAGGATTCTAGAGTTCTCTCCCAGCATTTCTATAACAGGAGCTTGTTTCTCAGATCTTTCTTCCAAAGCTGCATGGATTTATCATAGGCCTTCTATCTATGTCCTTAGTTCCAGGCCCATCTTTCATATCTTCACTTATTTGATATTTATATTTCGGTTTTCAAATTCAGTGATACATCTAAAACTGAAATTATCATCTCCAGGATTCATTCTCCTATTCCCCAGGTTTCAAAACCAGTGTTGCCTTGGACTCTATTCTCTTTTTCTTGCCATGAAGTTTTATTAATTCTTTCTTTGCAAGATGTTTCCAATTCATCTTTTTGGTGTTTATTTTGTGTGTGTGTGTGTGTGTGTGTGTGTGTGTGTGTGTGTTCTCTATGTTCTTCTGCTTCTAATCCCTATTCTGATCTAATTTATCTTCATTTTTTTTACCACAATAATTCTGCTAAAATTTTTGTTTTGCCTCTTTCCTGCTTAATAATCTTCAATAGATCTCTATAGCCTGGGGAAACATCCAAACTCCTTGTAAGATGAAGGCTCTACCTTAATTTCCAGTGTTTTTTTTCACTCTGCTTCAAAATTAGCTCTTCATCCCATTAGCCATGGTCCCCAAACACAAATTCCCCATTCCTGTATCTCTGCCTTCCTCCCACTTCTCCACTTTCCCACTGGAAAAGCCACCCCTCCTTTTCAGCTGCCCGAATCCTGGCTGATGAAACTCAGGTCCCTGTGCTGTGCCAGCCCAGTGCTTTCTTTCTCCCTCTTCTTCCCTCCTGCCTGTGCTATGTGTTTAACACACTTATTGTCCTGAACTGTGACATACATTTTGTTCTTGCCAGAGTTTTCCTTTATTCAGACTTTAATTTGTATGAAAACAGAACCCATGTCTCCTAATTTGGGTTTTCTATTCCTCCATTACCGCACACCCAGTACTGTGCATGATAGGTGCTTAAAAATTTTTACTTTGTAATTTCTTTACTCTAAAATAAAAGGCTATACTTTGTCTAAAGTCTGTTTCATCATGTGATATCAGTATTATGGATGGCAAAGATGTGGTGGAAAAATAGCTAAACCCTCCTAAGTTTCTCTCTATACTTCCCTGCTATACTAATAAATGTGCCCTGTTCTTCCCACCATTTTCCTTTTGAGGAACAATAGGCTGTTTTCCTTTTTAGGAAATAATATCATGCTCTGATAAAAAGTTCTCTTGTTTATAAATCTCTCTTCCATTCACTCTTCTCCAAATGTAATTTTAGGCAGGTCTGTTTTTGAAGTTCAAAGAGAAAAGAAATCAGCAGACTCAATGGCACATAACAAAAGGCAATGTGTGGTATCCTTGTTTCTTTTTATTGGAAAGGAATCATTTCTATTCTAGCGCAAACAATGTATATTTTACATCATAAAGCAAGATATAATTTACATATTACATTTCTTATGAGATCTTTATACCCTAAATGTCATTCCCTTTTTTATTCGGTCACCTCTTCTGGTTCCATTTAATGTGCCACATACCCCATAAATCAGCATCTTGTTTCCAAGGGATTGGGGACACAGACAGAGAATTTGTAAGTATTCATCTGTATCTGAGTATAATGATGGTGAGGAGCAGGGGTATGCCTTTGAACTCTGGGGCTCTGAGGCCCTCTCTTGATGCCTGGCTCAGGAGCCAGAAGGTTACTCCTCCAAATCACATATGAACTCCTACTTATGTCAAGTCAATAATAAATGAACAACACCGAGTGCTTATACCATGGGTATACTTCTTGATCAAGTGCTTAGATAATAGATGCTTGTGGTATGCATTCACCAACAATGCCAGTTCCTATGGCTGACCAATACTGATTCTTCCATGATATTCCCAGATATCTCTTGCTCAGGGAATATTGCAATATTGGGTAAAACTGCCCAGTTTCACCTAGCATTAGGGTTATGGGTTCAGACCTTTCTGTTCACCACTGAAAATGGATGTCAAGATAGAAGCTTCAAATGACTTTACATGACCCTCTATCTCTTGGCTGCCTCTTCTAAGATTCCGCCCCTCTTAGCAATTTTATTTTTCAATGTATGGTTTCTGTTCCCTGCCCTAGAATCCAAATCCTCTTTCAGCCATTCTTCTTAAACCTCCAACTTCAAAAGTTTACCAGTTTCTTGGATTGCACTGATTTCACAAAGAATATTTTAATCTGTTAGGATGCACTGTTCCTTTGAAACTCAATAATCCACAGCAGCTAATGGGACAAAAGAATCAGTCCAGGGACTCTTTGGGAAGCAAGTAATATGTGTTGTTAGCCAGCTTATGTGAACCATTTGGTAAGAAATGTTTGAGTAGTAGGTGAAAAGAAACACACACAGGAAATTGGTTGATGAGAGCAAAATGCATCAGATGGGCTTCCTTCTTGTTACAGAGAAAAGTACAGAATTAACATTCAAAATACACTTTTAGACTGGGGGATGTTTGACTGAAAAAATAACACCATGAGCTCAATCTGGTAGGCCAAAACAAATATATTCTTAAATGCATCTTAAACCCCAATTCCTTGCCTGTCACTGAAAGTTGACATATTTGGCCATAATCAGTCTGAAGCTTTTAAGTCACTGATAACTAAAGTTATTACAATCAAGCTGGCCAGGATGAAAATGTAAATTGAAAATGTGTTTGTTATGTGTATCTTAGATTACTTTGGTCAAATGATGTGAATTCTGAGAGGTCTATAAATATAAACCTATTCCAAATGCAAAATTATAAGCATTAGAAGCAAGGTATCATTTCCTTGCTAGAAAACAAGATACTGTGTCCTTCCATTAGCCTTGAAAACTTTTATAGTCCCCTTCCTTTCATGGCTACAAAGTGCTGGAAATACAGAGAATATGGGAAAGAATGAAGAAGCAAATGTATAGGGCCTCACAACACCCCTGTGAGGTAGGTAAGTATTGTTAAACCCATTTTTCAAAAAGGTAAACTGAGGTACCCACATCGTAATGGGATTTGGTCAAGTCCACCTGACAAGTCACAAAAGCACAGCTGGAAACAAAGAGAAAGAAACAAAGAAAGGTCAGTCCTGGCTCCCAGCCTAGCCACTAACCTTTATTTCAAAATATTGGAAAATAAAATAATTGCCTTTTTTGAGATTTAGACAAATCTTCAAATATTCCAATAAACATGTGTCTTTCAGATTCCTGTTGAGTAGAAAAAGGGCAGATGGCCAGATGGCTTTTCCTCCCCTCTCTCAGTGTAATTCCCCTGACAGAGCAGGACAGACCAGCATTCCACCAGAGCTCAGCCCCTAAACTCAAAGACATCCTTAAAGCTTCACATAGTTTCTCATTTGTTTAAAGCCCTACTATGAAAACAAGACCTGTTCTCCAACAGCTGCCCTGTGGACCTTAATGAGAATTTTGTGGAGAGCAAGAAAGGAAACAAAATCCCCAATAAAAAGTCTCATCACTGTAGGGAGAAGGACAGTGGTGATGGTGTGAAATTTGCTTTTCCTTGTGTTTGAGAAACTGCAAACTTGAGCTTGCAAGAATATTTTATATATATATAAAATATATAAATATATACAGTAAATATATAAGTGTGCATCTGATGACCCTTAAGGCACCAATGAGATATAAGCTATGCCTTTCACAACTCGGTCTTTGTTTTCCGAGATAAATTTCTCTCCCTCATTCAAATGAAAAATAGTTCGTCTACCAAATAGTCCATGACAGAAAATCCTTCAAAAACAACAAGCATCTTTAACTTAAGGTGGGTGATTATTAAGATAGGGATGATGGTGATATCATCTATAGCTTAGAGCTTAAATCTAGAGCTTAGGTCTAGAGCTTATTGCTTAGAATGAGCCAGACACAGCCAATCAAACTGGAACAGACAGGCGAGTGACACATGATTGTTTCTCTCCCCCTCTACCCCCCAGTAGCTGATGGAAAAACCTTTCCATGACCAGCAGAGATGGAGACAGAGAGAAAGAAAATCATGTCTGGCACAGATTCTTTAGAAAGATTGGCTTTTCAGAAGTTCCTGCAGCTTCTGTGCAGAGAACTGGGAAGAAGGATGGGGCAAGGCACTGAGGCTTCAACTCATCAATGAGGAGACTATAGGCAATTATTCTGATATATATATATATATATGGCTTCTTTGGCCGTCGTAGACTTTCTTAAAACCCATACAATCATAGGGAGGGGCGGGGGCTGAACCCAATTGAAGAAGCTCGGAGTATATGAAGCAAAGCATGGAAAGAAGGGAAAACAAAACGAACACACCCAGAAACAAGTGTTGCTGGTGTCCCAGAGGGAGGAGGAGTGTTTGGTAACTAATTTTCATTTGGCTCCTCTCCTGTGCTTCTCTGCCATGGTCCCAATAGTTTAGTTCTGTTTGTTTTTGTGTGTTTTTTGGTTTGTTTATTTTTATTATTTTTTCCAGCAGATGAAGAAATGACAGAACAGGATAGGTGTCTTATGGTTTTTTTTGGATTTCTTCTTAGGCCTGTTTAATTATTTTTTTCCTCAGTTGACTGTTGGCACCTGGTTCCTCTGTAAACTATATTCCTTGGCCTTCAGTCTCAGGTTGGCAATGCTGTTGGCCATGTTGATGCCCTGTGCAGGGCTATTGTTGGCACATGTGGCAGAATAAGTAGCCATGGCACTGTAGGGACAAAGGAGAGAGCAGGGAGAATAACAGGCATTAGTTTCACAAAGCTGTAAGTCTGTGCCCCAGATGTGTGTGACTCTCAGAACAGGGGCCGGCAGGGGCAGGAGGGCTGGACAAGATGACCTCTGAGGTCCCTTACAGCCCCAGGTTTCCATTAGTTTAAGGCACTTGGAAAGGGTGGCAGTGTTTGAAAGGGCAGGGGAGAGCAGTGGAGAGTGGACCAAGGGATGGGGGAGAGAGGCATTCTCTGTGTTGGACTCAATGAGTCATGATTTATTTCTGGGGTGAGAGAAGAAAGCTGCTTGTGCTGAATAACAGGTGTGTGATCAACTATCCAGTTGAAACTGTTCAAAGCCCTCTTCCTGCCTACATCTCTGGCATATGGGAACAGCAAGAAAGAAAAGGAGGCATTTGAAAAGAAAAAGTTTTACCTTTCTCACTCTAGGATGCTGACTTCCACTCTAACATGTTTTATTAGATGATCAATAGATGCCATACTAAATACCATTCTTGGAGAATCCATTAAACAACCCAAGATAACTTTTGTGCTGTTCTCCATTCCCTGGTTGATAGTACCAAGCATTGCCCAATCAAGAGGAACCCATCCCATTTGGCCTTGATTTGATAACTTTTCAAAAGGACTTGAGTAGCTATGGATACTGCTTTTGGGTCAGTCATTTTGGAGATGTTTAAATCTCCTAGATAAGCTAGCAAAGGCTTCAGTTTTAGGATTCCCGACCTTTTTCTCACTGTCCATATTGTTGAGAAAAAGCTGAAGTTTTTGTTGTTGTTAGAGGTTGTAATTTAGACCTAGGAATACCACTGGGAAGAAATTTGTAATTGGTGGTTTTCTGTTACTTGTACCCATGAATTTCTTCTAAAGGAAAGAGTAATGGTTTCTTTGACTTGGATGCAAATTATCCATTACTTTATATGAACAGTTAAAAGGGTACTTGTTTTAATTAAATGAAGATATTTCTAGGTGTTTCTAAGATTAGCAAAATCACTTCCTACTGAGGTAGTAGACGTACAAATGGAATGATGTGTGCTCTTCCATTGCCTGTATTCCAAGGCAATTTTGTCAGCCACACAGGAATTTGTGCTTCTGGGAACCAAGTGACAGACCAGAAAGAGAGAAACCTAAAGCTACTGCACAAATAGAGCAACTGTATCATTAATTCTTATTTGGGACATCGCATAGTCAAGCCTTATAGTCAAGATCCACAATAGCCTATTTCAGCTCAGATACTAGCAATTAACCCAGGAAGACTAGGTTGAAGAAATATAATTAGTCCCAGGTTACTAGGTCTTTCCAAAAATACATATTCTTAATGTAAAATCCGTATAGCACTGGTGTGTGTGTGTGTGTGTGTGTGTGTGTGTGTGTGTGTGTATTATAGCAGAAGGAAGAAGATTTAGAAAGGTTATAAAAGATGCTTATGTTCTTGCATTTCATTTTTGCCTACTTTGCTCTTTCTAATTTCTGGATTGATGATTTTAACCATCTATGCAAAATTAGGTTGTCCTCTCCCTCCCTGGACTTTTCCTCTTAGCACTTATTGTAATTCCTCAACTGTAAGTTCCACAGATGAGACATCATATCTGCCTTGTTCACCTCTGTCTCCTTAGGTAGAGTTAATATCCTATCTACCACACATTTGGCATTCAAGAACATATTTAATGAATAGATAAGTAAGACTAACTGATTCCAGCTCAATGTCACTTTTCTCTGTCATCCTGCTGTGTGTAATGATTCTAAAAATATTTCACCAATATGCTTTTATTCTTAGGAACTTATTCATCCCTGATAATTTGACTATCTTAATAGAATGTACAAAATTAGAAAAGACATGACAAAACTGGAATTGGTGATTGCATATCCATAACAATATCTTTTAACATGAACATGAATAAATATTAATACAGGTTAGACTAATAGAATAAACTATCACTTCTATCACTGTCTATCAAAGGCAGAGGCAGAAAAAGAGTCCCAGTTAAAGTTTTCAATTAGGAGTGAGATAACTGATCAGAACAACCCATTAAAATTGAACAAGTTTTTTTTTTTTTCTTTCCAGTGTACCAAGAAATTTCATTCATTTTCCAAACCCACATACATATGATCATTTAATTTCTATAGGAATTTCCTGCTTCCATTCAAGATTCTGCCAGAAATATAAGTGAATCCATAAATCCTCTATTCAAGAGAGTTCAAGGATACACTGAAATCTAAGATTTCAAATAAATCAAATATCTAAGTTGGTAAGAAAAGAGATACTTGGATTGGGGACATGTACCTGAGACATAGACCACCAAATCAACCAAACAGGCTTTCTCAACCAGATTTTTGTAAGAGAATGAAGCCCTGGAGATGGTACATAGAATCATTTTAAATGCAAAGGAGAGAAGCTGAAATTGTGAGTTATCTGTGATATCCGTTAAGTACTGAGGATGAATTTGGATGGCTTCCTAAAATAGAAGACTGAAACTTCTTGAGAGAGCACTTATAAAACTGAAATTCCTAAAGTTGTGATTTCAATGTTATCTATTATAGAACCATGATTTCTGTATTTTCTGCAGAGTTTAATAGTGTCATCTGATAGTCTAATCTGAAGACTGACTATGATAACACATGTCTTGGAAATACTGAGATTCTCTCACTAATGCAGGCCAAATATTAATATCCCAAAGGAGGTGAATATTGATCCACTTTCCATCTCAAAACCAAGTTAGTGTAAATTAGGGTTCTGTCTTGCACAGGAGATGGGATTTTCACTGAAATATTTCCCCCTAAAAGGCAACCTGTTATCAGAGCTGAGAATAACTTCCTGTCCGGCTGTACTGTGGGCTGTTACAAGGATATCGCTGTATCCGTGAGGCCTCAAGCTAGTGGTTGATGTTCATGAGTAAGTTTTGCACATTCCAAGGAACTTGGCAAGTATTAATAATAGCATTTGCACTTGATAAATGTTCAGGAAAGTTAGAAACTTTCAAAAATTGACCTAAAACATGCCAGCATTGCATAGCCATAAGAGATAAACTAAGAGTGAGTCTTAATTCAGAGCCTCTTAACAAATGTGTAGACGATCTAACGGTATAAATAGAGACTACAGTGAGGGTTTTGTGCACATGCAAAAGGATTGTGAATCTGTGTTCCCTGAATACCTGGACATGGGTTTAGATTCTCAACTTGAATTAAAAGTGCCAAAGGACTGCAAGTAGGGAGCAGTCCTTTGACTTGCCAGTGAGGCCTCAAGACTTGTCACAAGTCAGAAAAGACAGAATTAGTGAGTGGGTACTCCAAGAGCAGTTCAGTCATGCTATTAAAACAGCATTAGAAGATGGAGAGGACCCGCTTGCAAAAATGACAACAGGTGCAAGGAGCCTCGAGTGGCTGCCAATCAGAATGTTCATGACCACCTGTTTTCCATGTCATCAAAACTTACAATGCTCTGTGTTGGGCAAAGAAAGAGAACCCCGGAATGTTTTCTCACAAGACAGATACCAAAGGCAATGAGTTGTTTTCAACTAAACTTACAGGACCATTGGAATCATTGAAAGTGCTCACCCTTTCCTATATAGGAATAAGCTTCCTGGGGCAAAAAGATGAGATGAAAACAAAGTGATTTATATAGATTAAGCACACAAATCACACCAAGAGCCTGCTGACCAACACCCAGAGACCCTGCCTTTTGGTCTTGCTTTATGAGTAAGAAACATGTACTTTTTCTAACATGATAATGCTGACATGACCCTGGTACTGGGGGTTCATGGAGGTTGGCTCGAGCAACATTTCTATTTCATTTTAACGAATGTCAAGTTCTCTGTGTTCACGACCAAGAAACTAGGTTGATGAATAAAGGGCACTGAAGAATTAGAGATGAAAAGGAAATTCCTATATCCCTTCTGTCAACTCAGCAAGTCTACCCTGAGACTCACGCAAAGTGGACACATGGATGTGAGCTTGAACATTTTCCATCTCCTTATTTGGAGATGCCTAACAGATGGCGCTCAGCCATACAATGCAGTGTGCTAACCACCACAAGGGCAGAGTTTTGTTTTCACCGGAGACAAATAATTTTTGATGACTTCAGCCTACTCTGAGAGGTTGTTGTGAGGAAAAATGTGTCACAGTGGCTGCCAAACACCAAGAAGTCCAGAAGACACCATACATGATATGACTTTAAAGCCAGGAAACTGGCAGGCATCTGCCTCTCTACTTCCTCAGCAGCCAGAGTGTAAGTCCCATAAGTCACAAAACAATGAGGATAGAGGAGGGGGGGGGGGGAATACAATAATAACTGACTTAGTTTTCAACTCTTTGTTTTTGTATTTGTCCCTTTTGGACAAATGATGACAAGCTGTTGAGAATTCCATCCCAAAGACAGATTGGTTAGCCCAAGACATCTATGTGCTTTCTGAGATCCTAGAGTTTTCCAGCTCAGGAGTTTTCAAAGGCTATGGAGCTGGAGGTTTGCCCGACTCTGTCTGTAATGGGTAGAGGTTGGAGATAGTCTCTTAGGTTTGTTCATTTGTCAGTGCAAGAACACGAAGGTATACTTGCTTCATCTAAGAAAACTTAATATGAGTTTTCCTAAGGAAGTTTACTCTTTAGAGAGGGAAACTGAAGTTTCCTTTTGGAAGTGATCTTTTCTAAGTGATCATTTCTAATTTCTGATTTTAAAATCCAGAAGTTAATTTTAGAAATTTAGCTTTTTAAGTGAATACACTGGACCCTATTTCATTGATAAGCTTCTGTTTGCACTACATGTCCAGGGATCCTTCTGCCATTTTTAACTTCTTTCTACAGATGTGTTATGTTGGAAGCCTTGCATCTCTCTTCTGTTTCAACAATTTGTGTACTTCCTTTTTGAAATGCACATTGCTTATCTACAGATTCCAAATGCCCCGGAGAAGTAGGTAATAGGAAAACTGTAACCAGCTCAATCTTCGATGCAAGGTTATATGAGAGAGAGATGATCGAACTGGCCTGAGAAGCAACAGGAGCCAGTTCAAGAACATAATTCCTCCGACCTCTGCTCCACACCCTACAGTCATTTAAAGCCTCACTATTCCAATTATGTCCCAAGTCTCAACAGTGTGGAATGACATGAATGCCTGTTAGCTCCACAGAAGCTGAGTCTGCATTGTAACACTGTCCCTGGCAATCCATACACCCAGGAATTTTTGAGGAGCCCTGCTCTAGGCTACAGACTTTACAGGCCCATTTTCTTGCAGCTCCTGTTAGTTTCCAATGGTATTCCCCACTTAAGGACCTCCCTGCTTTCATTTCTAGGACTGCAAGTCCCACTTTCTTAAACTCTTATTTCCCACTTAAACCCTACCCCCAGCAGCCACCCTCTTCCCCCTCTGACAAGTTACCTTTTCAGTGTCTTCCGTTAGAATCCGTTATGAAGTCCCTCGTGTAAACAACATCTTGGGAGGGACGAGGATCTATTTTTGAAAGTGTGAAAGGGAGACATGAGCCAAATGCGTTCAGCAGATGTCAGGCAGCACCGTGACCACGACCAAAGGAGGGGAGGAGGAGGAGGAGAAGGTTAGAGGAGAGAAACTGTGGACAAGGATAGCTGGCCTCCCTTTTATTTGTCATAGGTTCTCTTGGAAGCCCAGCCCTCCCTCTGGAAATGGCCCTCCAGAGCAATACTGCAGAGCCAGGCCACTCTCTAGCTATTATAGAAAAGGGCATCTCTAGAGAAAGGCTTCTCTAATATTCTATCTAAAATAGTAGCCCAAAGTCTAGGATTTGGTTAATTAGTGCTACCCAAGAGGCAAAGGACTTCAAGATAGGGAGGCTTAATAGCTCTGGTGCAGTGTATGATTTTCACCGAAGGGAAAACAGTTCTGAGCTAAACCAGGGGTGTGTGTGCCAAAAACAAGCTCTCTTCCTCGGGCAGCAGGTAGATAAAGAAGACAATTACTAGGCTAGTAGTGTCTGTGTGAGGGAATGCTTTGCTCCTTCTGGTAACTCAGTTGCCTGCCTGACATCACCACCTCTAGCATGCTCATGGGAATGAATGAGGTCATGACGTGCTAAAAATATAGTGTGAACCATATGTCCCAGTTTGCCAGGGACAATCCCAGTTGAATGCTTGTTGTTCTAGTGTTATTATTAATAGCACGCCCCTTTCACTCTCAGAAGTGTCCCAGTTTCGACGATAAATTATACAGTCACTACTCTAGATATGAAAGACACCCGGGGGGGGGGGGGGGGCGGAGAAACCTTTGGCTACTTCCTATCCCATAATCCTGAACATATACACACAGTTGCTTTGAGTCTTATTATTTTTCCTGCCTTCTCTGTGGAAGTCAGCAAACTGTCCTGACCTGTCTGACACAACTGCCCTCTCACTGTCCCTGGGTTGCATGGTCAAGCCCCGTCAGTCACCCCAAGGGGATGTCCACACACCTCAGTGTCTTCTGTTATAGACAGACCCTAAATCAAAGAGCATGTTTACATCGTTTCCCATTCTTACACTGTTACTATTTTCAATATAATGTCTAATTTAAATGAAAATATGGCCATGTGTCCTAAAATTTTGGACAGAAACAGGGATCATGCGCACTGGGTCTAATTCTGCCTGTGAAAGCTAAAGCTTGGGTGAATGTTTAGTTTCTTCTTTGGAACAAGAGCAAGGACAGAACTACTACACCAGAGCATTCCAAGGGTTAACCAAGAGAAATACCTTTTAATCAACATCACATGGGAGATAACTAACTTGACATAATAGTACCAACAGAAATAGCGAGTTAAATTTCCATAACACAAAAGGTCTATCGTTTGCTTTGCTTTTCATCACTTTTTTTTAAATCATTCTTTAACAAAACTTCTATTTCCGAACCAAGCTTCAAAATGCAAAATCATTAAGTATTTTGTGTCTAAACATAGCAGAAAAATCTCCAAGAAACCGAATAGCTTTTTGCCACTTTTAGAAATTAATCAAAATAGAAACACTTCAGTCAATATTGGGTCAAACAACATTATTATTGATTAAATTACTGCTTTAAGACATTGAGTTTTTTTTCTACTTATAGCTGGAGATTAACTTATTCTTCATACAGAATATGAACAATCAAAATCTATAAATTTTTAATGAATTATATTTTACAAACTCTGTAGCTAAGAAAGAAGTGATATAAAAGTATACCATGAAATAAGTAAAAAGTACTAGGTTATATAATTTTAAGTGAAAAGAGAAGAATACAAAATAATATGTACACTAAGTCTACACTATATAAAATACTGAACTCTAATTGCAAAAGTAAGCAAAACTAGTTATGTCAAGATGGTGGAATTATGAGTATTTTTTAATGTATCTAATATTTCTACATAATCTTTCAAATTAAGATAGAACATTTCCCAAACCGGCACACATAAACTGTTTGTTAATAATTTCAGTTAGATGCCCATATGCAGAATATATATGCTGCTGGCCCCGGGGTTTGAACTTCTGCTGAGGTCTGGTAACCTAACCCAGTATAAATTCAGGAAGGATTTCATCCCCACTGCTGTAGGGGACTGCCTTCAGCCTCTCACTGGTAAGACCATATACAGCCATCTGGGTTGCTGTATATACAGCCATCTGGTATGAAAAGTTCCTATGTAGAACCCAGGCAGAAAAGGGCGCAGGACTTCCTGGCTATGACCAATTTCAAAGCAGAGACCTTGAAACATCAAGCTTGGAACCGCATCCATTTCCTAAGACATTTAATGAGTCTATGAGCTATCAATATTTATCAGAGAAACACAGCAGACTTCTGGGTATTTAAAAATATTAAAGAGTAGGTGATTTCACAATGGTCTTCAAAATGGGTCTTGAATAAATTTAGAGGAGTCTGAATTTTAAATGGGACCCAAAGATATGACTAATCTTTTGAAATCAGCAAGGCGTACCATGTCTGAGAGCAAGAGTTTCCAGTTTCCTATGCAGCAGGGGTCTCTCTGTACTAAGACCAAAGTAATTCAGGCTAATTTCACAATGGGGGTGTTCAAAAGAGATTTGCAAATGCATTTCGATGTTTCTTTCAAGAAACTGATTTGGAAGAAAAAGAACATTCAGGTGAGGCCTTTTGCTTTGATTAGAGTAATCAACGTTTGAAACATATTTGCATTTCACAATGTAGTATTTTACATCAGGAGTTCAGCTTCCACTTTGAGGGGGTGGGGGAATAACCTATAATTAATTTAAACATCTCTTTAACCCATTAGTGTACTTTAACAATAAAAAGGTAACCAAAGCACAATAAATGAATTTCTCCACTGCAGTCAGCCAGAGATAATCTTGATCTCATTTCTGAGTACCCGGGTTTAGATTCAAAGAAAGGCACTGATATGGTGACAATGTGCTAGGCACTTGTATCTCAGCTTCCCTCTGGCATTAACCTATAATTCTGAACAGCATGACAAATGGAGGTTAAAAGCCTCTCCAAGACATTGAAATAGTATTCTGTTATTTGCTTCTTTAAAAAATATTCACCTTTTTAATATAAAAGTTTAGTGTAAATTATACATTGCTTTTATACTTTAAAAAACCCACGCAAACAAACTGACCCCCAAAGCATTTCAGATAAGTAGATAAGATTTAGCAATAGAATAGGAAGGCAATTTGAACCATAAGACATCCTCTACTAACAAAGAACTGTGACCTTGAAACTGATCAAAATGATTTTGGATATTTTTTCCTTCTCTCTCTGTGACTCTCTTTTCCCTTCTTCCCTCCTTCCCTCTTTCCCTCCCTCCCTCCCTCCCTCCCTCCCTCCCTCCCTCCCTCCCTCCCTCCCTCCCTCCCTTCCTTCCTTCCTTCCTTCCTTCCTTCCTTCCATCCCTCCTTCCAATTAAAAATTAGTTTTACTGTGAATTACAGCTTTACAAATTCAGTTCCTACTTGAGCATAGAAAAATGGATCTATTGATACCTTAAATTTGGAAATGGGGTAAAGTTTTGTTTCAGAATGGTTGCAAGGGGGACTCTGAGCATGGCTTAGTGATCTTTTCTTTTAGATTCTTTCCCATCTTTGAAACCTTTGCAAGAGTTCCTGAGTTCAGAGGAGATTGCTGATGGCCTGCCCCTCTCTCTTCTGCCCCAAACCCTGCTTCTGGGGCAACTAGTAATCTCCTATGAAAATCTGGGGATGTCAGCAAGTTGAGTGTCTCTGAAGAGGTTAGCCCAGGAAGAAATGTCAGCCAGCTGCACAAGCAACTTTGAATGTGACGGAGCGCTGAGAAACATGTGGAAGTAGAGCAAGGGGGAGTGGGCCAATCATTCACCTGTACGGAGAGGCCGTCCCCCAGGAGAAATAATCGGTGGGTCTTGGAGCAGGACGAGGTACAATGGGCTGCTCCACGGCAGTCACGTCTCCTGAGTAGGATTTGAGGAGGGAAGCGTTTTTATTGGCCAGCATGGCTCTCTCGTTCCTGCGGAATTTGGCTCTTCGGTTCTGAAACCACACCTGGAAGATGGTTGGGAAGAGAGAAGGGCACAGGAGGGGGATGGGAAAAAAGAAAAGGAGGTTATACCAAAGAAGTCCTGGTTGATTCTACCAGACAATGCCTTCCAAAGGAAGATGCAGGGGAGATATGGACTTCTCCTGAGAACAGTAGAAACATGCTGTAATCTTCCTGAGATGAGCCATGTCAGAGGGCTCTTAAGAGTAAAGACTTATAAGGAGACCCTGAGATACTTCACTAATCAGGATTCCAGAAGTAAGACCGTGACTAACCCATGAGATAGCAAAATTTGGTTATAATCCCTGTTGTACTTACAATCTAGAGAGAAAAAAGAAAATCTCATTAGACGTCTGCCACAGAGACAATGACATTTTTTAAGTGCCTTCAAAATGTAAAAATCCGTCTGCTTTCATAATGCTTATTGGCTTTATAAAAGAAAATTCATCTTCCCTTGAAGTGGGCCCAACAATAAGCTTTAAGAAGGAGATGGTTTATGGGAAATGCAGGGAACAGCAGTGAAGAGTGAAGATACAGCAGAGAACAGCCATGGAAGGGTGTGTTCAACCTCATGGGACAGAAGAGACTAACCTAGGACACAGACTCCCTCTGAGGGACACAGACTCCCACTGAGGGGTAAGGGGGCTGAAGATTTGTAAACCATCATTTTGGTTATTAATGTTCCAGCGCCTCTGACATGCTGAACACAGGCAGGGAAGCTTCCTGAACTTCTAGAGAGAAACTTGTAAACAGAAATAAAGGTACTGAAGGGTGGAAGTTGAATGGAATACATTCAATTGTAGGGTTAGATGGAGATGGCTGGTGCTGGCAGCATCATAATCAACCTATCATTTATTAAGTGCTACCAGGGCTAGGAATTTATAGAAGCACATTGCATACATAGTTTCTGGTTATCACGACAATTCCATATATTAGGCTTTATTATTTCTATTTCAGAGTTGAAGAAATAGGTTCAATGAGATGAAGCCAAATGGCTGTTAACTCAATGACATCTGACTCATGATCCTTCAACTCTCTGGATGGCCATGGGATTTTATTCATTCATTTACTCATTCAAGAGATCTTTATGGAGTGCCTGTTGTGTTGCAGACTCTGTGCTTAATATTGGGACAGAGATGAGACTTAAGCAGCCCACAGTCTATTAAAAGAAGGCAGACATGGAAATTTGAAATACTACAAAATAAGTTTTAGGTGCAATTATAGAAATGCATGACAAGAAATGGGAGAAAGAAATTCTATGGTGTAAATTGGAACATTTGTAAAATTCTAGGGAGCAACCTTCACATAAACTACTGTGGGATGGGTGCCCAGTGGAAGGCCTGGGTTGAAGTCAAGGCAGAATCTGCACACAGACTGGCTCTACAGACTCCTAGCTCTTTTGCTTCACTGTGCCCTTCAACATTGCTAATAGAGCTATCATTTTAAAATGCACATACAATTGTACTAATGCCCTGCTGATACCATCCACTGATTCCCTATCACTTGCAGAATCAAATAAAAATAAAGACTGTTCAGGAATGACCTCTTTGTCCACCAATCTGGCTGCACCCTACACAGCTTGGATCATATGCACTGGCCCCTATTTTTCCAACTCCTAGCTCAGATTCAAATCTATTGATATATTCAGTTATTTCCTACCTAAGTCTGTTCACACCCAATATTCCCTCTGCCTGTGACATTCCTCCCCTTTGTCCAGGTGTCAAAAGACATACTTTCAAGATTCGACTTTAACATCACCTCCTTTGTGAGATGTCATGAAAAGAACATGACTTTAACATCTTACAGAGTTGGATAAAATATTGGCTATGAGGTGTTAAAGACTTGTCCTTGGATATTTATTTAATTTCTCTGATCCTTTGTCACTCAAATCAAATGAGCATAATGATACCTACTCACAGGGTCATTGTGACAGTTGGCACAGTTTCAGTGCTGAATATATGTGAATTCTTGCTCCTTTTGTCCCTGGCAGATTTGATCATTCCTTCCTCTGTTCTGTCATTAAGTCTTTGGTTTTATTGCTTTTTTAATAATAATTTTTAAAATATATATTTATTGATTTTTTTAGAGAAAGAGAGGAAGGGAGGAGAGAGATAAACATTGATGTGAGAGCAAAACATTGATCAGCTACCTCCTGCGTGCCCCCTACTGGGAATCCAGCCTGCAACCTGGGCATGTGCCCTGACCAGGAATCAAACCAGCAATTTTTCAATGCATAGGATGATGCTTAACCAACTGAGCCACACAGCTAGGGCTTAATCCCTAATTCTTGAATATTTCTTTAGTGTGAGCATTATCTTACTACATTGTAACAGTATGGTGTACACATCTGTTTTGTCTACCCCTAGTCTGTAATATCCTGAAGGGAGGCCATTGTCTTAGTCATTCCCAGAAACCCATAAACAGTTCCAAGAGCATAATAGGTGTTTGATAAATGTTTAAAGGGAGGAAAAAGTAGAAGAAAAAAGATGACTTGTGCAAAGATGATAAGATATGGCTTCCATCCAAGAAAACTTCACAGTCTAGTAGGGGAAGTTGGCTCACATACAATTCAATATAATACATGTCATGTTGTGATACATGCTGTACTTATAAAGAAGACCAGAGTCAGAAGGGCGTGGTTTAGAGGGAAAGGGTAAGACTTCCTGGAGGAAGAATAAAGTCGTGGAGAGAGAATTCTGGCCTGCTGGCACAAGGAATGTTCACAGTTCCAAAAGCCATTAGAATATAGTCAGGTGAGAGAGGAAGAAGATAAGGCAGTTTCTACATAGAAGAAAGACATTTAATTATGGTTTTGATGGGGCAAAATAGCTCCCAACTCAAAAATTGTCTCCCCCACCCCCACCCCCATTTCCAGCATTGCTCTGACCAGGTTTCTTTATATAAAATTGAGATCAGCACAGTAAAAGTGGCACGTTCTGATACTGTGGGTTAAGCACTCTACATGGACGTGCTCTGAGACAGGAGGACTGGGCTTACCTGCACTCTGGCTTCAGTGAGGTTCACCCTGCGGGCGAGGTCTTCTCGCACAAAAGCATCAGGGTAGTGGGTCCGCTCAAAGACGCGCTCCAGAGCCTGCAGCTGGCTGCTGTTGAAGGTGGTCCGGTTCCTCCGCTGCTTTCTCTTTTTCTTTTCCTCTGAGTTCAGCTGATCATCTGGAAGTGAAGACATTAATGATAAGAAGCGAAAGTCATGTTGAGGAGGGATGGGGTTCCCCCTTTATATTTTTTCTCTGTTTATCTACAGTGAGCTATTGTTTCCTTTGCTCACTGCTTTACCAAGGTGCTAGAGCCAAATGCCACCCATAGGTGCTCATTAATATCCTGTGCCCAGAACCCCAGCAGTTCTGATGCTTGGTTGTTGCTTTGAAATCTGAGACCAAATCTGAGCTGTCACAGGGATACTTGTTGCATGCTCTGGGAAGCCTGTTTTGTCAAAGAGGCTAAAGGAAATTTTTACTGGCGTCCATGTTCTCTAGACTTCTGTAGAGCTGGAGGAGGAAGAGTAGATGGCTTTAGACCTTATTTATATCAGACAACATTGTTTTCATTCATATAGTTTCACAACCAAGGAGACCAACTATCCCCTTGGTCTTTCTCCTCAACATACCCACCTAATCACAAATGCAATATTATAAAGTAAACTGATAAGAGGGGTTTATTTTTACCGTATGTTCTCCTGGAAACAGCTAGTGATTCCTGATTGCTTTGCTCAAGGCTCTGTGTCGTTGCTGAGGCCTCAGCCTAGAGCAGAACTATTGCTCACAGGACCATCCACCTAAGTTAACACTGCCCAATTCCCTCCTTGGTTTTCTCTGAGTTCCCCCAAAAGTATACTGGCAAGCTGATCACCCAGCCGTCTACAGTAGGCAGAGAGTCATGTGCTCCTGTCTTGCCACCACTCCTCAGCCCAGGAACGATGGATGTGTGTACTGAGCAGAAAACCAGCTGTGCTAGCACCCCATCAAGACGTCACCCGAGACCCACGCCACTGCCACGTCTGTGAAGCAGAGACCTACAGCGTGAGCTGCTGAAGCTGAAGTCCCTTGCTGGGCCTGATGAATTGAACATCCATATCCAAAAGCTCTCTACCTCCAAAGAGATTGACTCAAAGAGAAATATGAGGGCGAGAGAGGATAGAGAGACAGGAGAGCTTGGCTACTTGCTTCACTTTCTACAGGAAGGAGCTCTTAACTATTTTTCCAACATGTAAAGTCTCCTGATCTTCTCTGATAGCATACGATACACTCAATAAGACTACCAGTTCCAATGATCATGTCCTAAGGACACCTACCTGAGCTCTAATATTATCCTTATTACAAATCTAGGGAATGTTCTAGATGTGGGTGCACATTCAAAGTGTAGCTCAAATCCAGCAGCTGCTCTCTCAGGTTTCTCAGTGCCTAACAACTGAGGCTTCCAAGTCCTTCTCATCAGAGACTTCTTCCTCATGCAGGCTGCCTTATCAGCAATACCCTTCGAACTTAGAAGAGAGAAGGCACATTTCTTAAAGTATCTAAATGTAGCTTGTTGAATTTGTTTTCAGGGAAAATTGGAGACTTTTCTTGTCTTTACACACTGTTCTGTAGAAAAAACAACCACCTGTATGATCTCAACCACTTTCCTCCGGGTAGGAAGCCCTGATAGTCATTCTCTCAACTTCATAGTTGGTCTGGCCCACCACCTCTGTAGTATTTGTTTTTTAAAAAATATTTTTTATTTATTTTAGAGCAGAAGTGGGAGGGAGAGAGAGTGATAGAAACACCAATGATGAGAGTCATTGATTGGCTGCCTCCTGCACAACCCCTACTGGGGAGTAAGCCTGCAACTTGGGCATGTGCCCTAAGTGGGAATCAAACCCATGACCTCTTGGTTCATAGATTGATGTTCAACCCCTGAGTAACACCGGCTGGGCATCCGGTACTATTAAACCTCTTGGAGCTCTGCTTCCAAGTCACCACTGTGACACTTAATAACAAACAGATTGGTGGCATCTTGAGAATGGAAGCAATTTAGTGATCATAATTTCTGGGATCCCTCAAGTTCTGGAATATTCTAACCAGTATCCCAGTTATACCACTGTTTAGTTATAAGCAAAATTCATTTACAACAATGTCAACACTAGAATGCAAGGATCAAACACCTGTGAGCAGTTAGTTGCATTGCATTTGTATTCTTCCTACTTGCATATTTGGAGTCATTCCTATTTTCCCCATTCTCTTTCCCAAATTTCTTTGTATACAGTTCTATATGTCCTATACTTTAGGTCTTTCTACGTCATCCAGGCCTTTATGACAACACCACAACCTGCATTTCATGTTCTCATAAAACAGAAGTCTGCAAAAAATCCTTAGCCTCCATACCTACCCCAGACTGAGACCAGACCAGAGGCTATTGTTTTTAATCATATAGAGGGAATCCTTAATAATGCCAAAGACATTATCTGTTTTCTTTCCTCCAGGAAAAAAAAAATGCTTCTCCAATATAACCACAAAGTCTCAACCTTTGTGCTGTTGTGCAAGCTTGTTTTTTTCTTGACTGCCAAACTGTGATCGATAACAAGAGTATTTTATGTTTTGTTATTAGTTCTACAACCTGCTACAGAATCCTTGGTAGTTCTTTGTCATCTTCCACTGTTCACTCAAATCCCACTGACTGTCCACCATCAACCACCAGGTCCCCTGGCGTGGGAGCCAGGGAAATGGAGAATTAGAGTTTCTGACAGAGAGTAAATAGCTATGATAACCTGAGACCATTCCAGCAAAAATTTCCCAGCGAACATTCTTGTTGTTTTTAACAAATGAAAACACCAGTCCAGATCATGTCGAAGGTGAGAAAAGACACACGAATGACAGGGGTCCAGGGAGTCTGGGTCTGGCAAATGTCCTTCAAAGTGTGTGGATAATAGAAAGAGACAGTGAGGGGGCAACAGGGACAGCTTGAGTGGCAGCCCTTGGCTCGTCTGTCTTTGCTCAAGATTCACAAAGTACGAGTCCCCATTTTCCCCCATGCACACGCAAGCACAGGATCCAGCACAGTCTCTGCAGCAGTGTGAGAGGAAATATAAACACTGTAGAGGTTTAAGAACGAGGGCATTGGCTCGACTGGTATTGGCTCAGTGGTTGAGCGTTGACCCAGCTATCAGGTCACTGGTTCTATTCCTGGTTATCAGGGCGCATGCCTGGGTTGCCAGCTCGATCCCCAGTAGGAGGTGTGCAGGAGGCAGCCAATCGATGAGGTCCTCTCTCATCAATATTTCTGTCTTTCTATTCCTCTCCCTTCCCCTCTCTCTAAAAATCACTAAAAACATATTAACAAAAGAAAAGAAAGAATGGGGACATTGGAAGGACCTGTGATAAGTCTATCAGATTCTAAACTGAACATAAGGGAGATAATGTTTTTATCATTACTGGAAGATCATCTTGCTTATGAAAACAGCTACAGTGAAGGTTGATTTTGAAATATGTATTCAAGGATATTGGCATCTAATCAGGATGCATCTCATTCCTTAGAATTTGGAAATGGGTAAGATTCACTGAGCTGCAGAATAACCAAAGGGGACATGGATGCATATTTACCAAAATCATGCTTCAAATCCAGTGCGTTTACAGGTTTTATGGATGATTATGTATGTTATGGATGACAACTAATTGCAAGCATGAAGTTATCAACAAGTTTTCAGATAAAAATAAGCCAAAATGACCCTCATAAAATATTAGCACCAAATGAAACCGGAGAAGTTGTCTAATTCAGTCCTATTATTTGGTAAATGAGGTGAATAACACCTAGAAGAATAATATGACTTGCCCCAAATAACAATCCAGTTGTGGCTGAGCCAGGACTCCTAATGCTACTCCATTCTCAAGAGCAGATGACAAGTGTGTGCTGTGCATGAGAGAAGCAAGGGAATGTTAGAGATATAAACAAACAAACAAACAAACAAAAACCACAACCTTGGAAAAACTTTATGAGAAAGACAGGTTTTCCATCATCTATAATAATAAAAGTGTAATATGCTAATTAGACTGGACAGCCCTACAACCTTCTAGACGACCTTCCAGACAACCTTCCGAATGAAGCCGGAGCTGTGAGGGCTGAGCCCCTGGCACGAATTTCATGCATCGGGTCTCTAGTAGTTATATAAAGAGGGTCTAAAAAAGAGGGTCCATGTGTATCACATGTTGTCATTTCTATCAGAATAGCCATTAAAAAATTCAACCATTTTCTTTCTTCCCCCACTGAAAACATAGGACACATCTGTAATACTTTCAACAATAAAGATGCATTTAAAAAAAATAAAAGCCCTGACCCAACTAAAAAATAAAAATAAAAGCTAAAAAATGCAACCATTCTCATCTAGAATAGCTACTTTGATCCAGATGTTCTTGAATTTTCCTTTTCAGTGGCCTCCACAAGTCCTTGCTACATAAATTAAATATGTGCAAGGTTATTTCATCACAGTAGTACACCCTATCTTCTCCACACACCCACAATTGCACTTTTTTTCATTTTAGGACCCAGTTCAAAATCTGTTTGCTATGACACATCTGAAATCTTACCTCCTCTATAAAACTTCACTGATAAGTCCATTCTCTAAATTCCTATATATATTTTAGTATAGAATCAAGTACTTGGTTAAAATTATGGTTCACTTCTTTGTATCACCTCAGGTATTTCTATAGAAAAGAAATAGGGTGTCTAGCTAAGTTAAATGACAATAAAACGTGAAGGAGTTATGATAGTATTGTGGTATAGAAGCTGTCCCAGAAAATCAGAATCTTGGTGATTCATTTGAATAATTTTTTTAATTCTAGGTATTCTTTTTTTAAAAAAATGCATAGCAAATAACTGGACTAACATTATCTTTCTCTGTAGATAGTTTTACCTTGGGGGTGGGGGATACCTTTTACCATTTTTCTTTTTCAAACAGGTTAGTCATCAGATCTAGAGATGGGTGAAACTGTGGTGGTTCGGATCCCTTTGGAAATGCAGGAATTGGCCCTTCATTTTTATTCCTCAATAGAAAAGCAGTCCTCAGTCAAGGATGGGTTGAAGCAAATAGACACACACATAGAAAGAGTTATTTTTCGGTTGGTCAGAGTGTTAGCATAAGTGCCAAGCACTTCTCCAGGAAAGAAGCCCTAAGTCCCAAGTAG